CCCACCTGCTCCAGACTGTATAATATTTCTGAGCAGTTTGAGAAGAAAGTAAATAGATATTTTGCTTCTGCTGTTCAGAAGAAAGGAGCAGCAAGTGGATCAGAGATTGGAGAAAAAGATTAACTTTTAAATGTAAAAAAAATGATGAATGTAGGACAGAAGCTGCTCCATAAAATTCACTTTCAAATTAGTGGTGAAAGTGGTTGAGCAAGCTGTCTTTGACTGGGTGGGGGTGGGGGGAGATGCTTCCGCCCGTATTAAAGATGGCGCTGAATCCGCACGGTAGGACATGCCCCGCAATGACGTCACGGCCATCCGTTCTGGTCATGTGACTGTGCTTGGTGTCAGGTGACGTGGGGATCGTGGGTCGCGGCCTATCCCGGGGATGGCGTTGGGGTAGGAGTAGGTACCGGGGCTGGAGGAATTGGCGTCTCACTCGGTCTTTGCCGCCCCTTGCACAGAGCCGGCACGTTAGCCCGTTCCGGAAGTCGCAGCTCCCATCGGGCCTCATATCCAGGCAGGCGTTCACTTAATTACAGTACGACCCACCATAGCGACACAGTGTTGTAGAAACTCAGCAGGTCTGGCAGCAAATGTGGGAAGAGAAACAGAGTTAGCGTTTGCACTTCTTTGGGACTTTGGGGGGGGGGGGGGGGTGTTGGAGGAATGTTGGATATGAGTGAGTATTTGTGTTATTAAGTAAGGAGGGAGAGCAAGAGAAATAGATGGCATAGGTGCCCAGAGCAAGAAGCAAAAGGTGTTAATGGTTGTAGAGATATAAATTTAGAGTAGTTACAGAAAATGGGTCAACAGTGCTGAGAGTAAACCCATTGACCGAGACACCGACCTTGTGGGGAAGGTGGAAGGTGGAAGGTGGAAGGAGTTATCAAAATAGAGGATGCTTCACCCTCTGAAGTTGTTGAGTTCCATGTTGGAGTGTGAAAGATATAAAGTGGCACTGTAGGAGTATTAGGTTTATGTTTGAGAAAGCTTACTAGGCTACTAATTGATGTTCCCTCAAAGCTGCTCTAGTGTGTTGATGCCAGTTGTAGCATTGACATCTGGATCTGAAAGTTGCTGCACAAGAACCTTGGAGATACATATAAAAGAAAAGCAAACGCTGCTACTAACTGGAATGGATGAAAGCCTTATGAGTAAATGTTGGACAGGCTAGGCTTCAATTGGCTAGAATTTAAAGTGAGGCATGAGTTGACTGTAATATTGTAAGGGACCTTAAGGCTAGAATTGTAGAAGATATTTCTTCTCCTGAAAGAATCTAGAACTAGAGGTTATTATTTAAAAATGAAGAGCTGCCCACTTAAGACATGAGAAATTATTTGAGGGTTGAGAGTCTGTGACACTTCCTCATAATAATGGAGTCAAAATTATTGAATTTGTTTTTAAACTAGAGATAACCCTTCACCCCTGCTTATAAAAGCTATTGCTGATTAGGCTGGAATGTTGAATTCAAATTAAAATCAGCCATGATCTTATTGAATGTTGGAACAGGCATAAAGACCCAAGTGGCCTTTTTTATAGAACATAGAACCGTACAGCACAGTACAGGCCCTTCGGCCCACGATGTTGTGCCGAACTTTTACCACAAAACTAACGTCTATCTAACCTCCACCCCTATCTTATCCTATCGTCCATATGCCTATCTAATAGCTGTTTAAATGCCCCTAATGAGGCCGACTCCACTACCCTCTCCGGCAATGCATTCCACGCCCCTACCACTCTCTGAGTAAAGAACCTACCCCTGACGTCTCCCCTGTATCTACCTCCACTCACTTTAAAACTATGCCCCCTCATAATAGCTACTTCCACCCTAGGGAAAAGTCTCTGGCTGTCCACTCTGTCTATACCTCTGATCATTTTGTACACCTCTATCAAGTCACCTCTCATCCTTCGTCGTTCTTAAGAGAAAAGTCCTAGCTCTCTCAACCTTTCCTTGTAAGACCTTGCCTCCGTTCCAGGCAACGTTCTGATAAATCTCCTTTGCACCTCTTCCAAAGCTTCTACATCTCGCCTGTAATGAGGCGACCAGAACTGGGCACAATACTCCAGATGTGGCCGAATCAGGGTTTTGTATAGTTGGAGCATAACTTCACGGCTCTTGAACTCAATCCCTCAATAAATGAAAGTTAACACACCATACGTCGTCTTAACAATTCTATCCACCTGGGTGGCAGCTTTTAGGGAACTGTGGACATGAACCCCAAGATCCCTGTGCTCCTCCACACTGCCAAGAATCTTTCTGTTAACCCTGTATTCTGCTTTCAAGTTTGTCCTTCCAAAATGAATCACCTCACACTTTTCAGGGTTAAACTCCATCTGCCACTTCTCAGCCCAGCTCTGCATCCTATCAATGTCCCTTTGTAACCTACAACAGCCCTCCGCACTATTCACAACGCGACCCACCTTCGTATCGTCCGCGAGCTTGCTAATCCACCCTTCCACTCCAACATCCAAATCATTTACAAAAATCACAAATAGAAGAGGCCCCAGAACAGATTCTTGTGGTGCACCACTCGTAACTGAGCACCATGTTGAATATTTTCCATACACTACCACCCTTTGTCTTCTAAGGGTCAGCCAATTCTGAATTCAATCTGCCACGTTTCCCCCTATTCCATACCTCCTTTTTTGCTCCTTATTTGCATGTTAGGTTATCCGAGATCAGAAATAAGGTTCTGATGAAGAATCACTTGACTCTAAATGTTAACTCTGGTTTCTTCCGACAAATGCGGCCATACCTGAAGTTTGCCAGCAATTTCTGTTTTTTTTCCAGTTTTAAGGTGACTGGTAAAATGAGCAATGGCAACAAGTGGTTAGGGTTCAGAATACGCTGCCTGAGTGTGTGGACGAAGTGGGTCAAATTGACTTTCAATGAAGAATTGGATTATTCTCTGAAAAGGAAGAATATGCAGGGCAGTGGAGGAAAATGATAGGGAATAACATTAAGTAAATAACACTTTCAGAACCAGCATAGATATGACTGAATAGCTGCCTCCTGTCATAACCATTCTGTTTATGCTGACTCAGAGTGTGTGAAATCTGAACCCCTGGTCAACATTTCCACATTTGATAAAAACAGTGTAACTGGCCATTAACTTGCTTGCTGTTGTAGGACCTTGTATTCTGATTTGAAATGCTTGCCAATGTAACAGGGTGCATTTTCATGAAAAACAATTGGATATAAAATGTTTTTGAAGCCTTCTGATTATAAGGGCATTTTGTAGAATCAGGTCCATGTGGCCATTCTTCCTGACTAAGCTGAGATAGCAAGACTGCAAACCTGTTATCATTTATGCTTAATGATTCTTGATTTTGTTTTCTGGTTGCAGCAGTCTTTAATTTTAATATACTGTCACAATTACCCCTCTACTTTGTCCAAAATGGTACATAAAGGGGCTATTTTTTAGCTCAGACTGGGAGAAAACGCGAGAGTACTGATGTGCTGCTGTCCTTGCAGATTTCTTCTAGTCTGAAATGATAAGCTGTTGTACTGTCTTTAATGATTCTTTTTTTCCTCTTCTAATTGTCAGCTGCACTCCTCCCTTGCTTGAAGGTGTTTACTCCCTCACTGCGTGCACTCCCATAGCTTGTTGAAGTGTATATTTTTGCTTTGCTTCCTCGACAGTGAATGCTGACTGTTGTTCGTTTTCAAAATGAGTAGAAATTGTAATTATAATTAGATCTAATCTATGGCTAATTGTAGCTGTCCTTAATACCATCCTGGTCCAGCTTAATTGACTCTGCATATGACCATCTTAATCTACCTTGTCTAACACTTCTGCAGATGATGTATCAATAAGCAATTTCAATTACAAAGCATTCATGTAGAATTCAGCATGGAGATTTGGCCTATTCTGTCTGTCAGCTCTTGAAAAGAGCTTTCCAGCAAATGTTTCCTTTTCAAACACTCAGCTAGTTGCCTTCTGAAAGATGTAGAAATCACAGGGCTCAAGGTGATGGGCCCACATTTAAATAAATGCATCTGTGTGTAATTGCAAGTTACTGTTGGCTTGGTTATGTAGAGACACCTTTCTTTCCAAGCCCAAGCCCAGTCCCAGTCCCACTCATCTACCCAATCCTGTTGTAGTTTTGTGCTCTGTTTGCCTGCATTTGTAGCAAAATATACATGCACATAGTCACATTCCTTCCTCTGCTGACCATCGTAACTCCAATTTCCTATGTTGCAACAGTGAATACGCTTTAAAAGTGTCACTATAAAATACTTTGGGATGTTCTCAGGTTGTAGACTTCGTTATACATTTTTCCTCCTTACCCACACTTTGAGCGTATATGGAATTTGTAGCAGCTAAGCCTGTGTCTCACTTTCGTCTTTTAAGGCTCTCCTTAAAGCCCATCTCTTTAAAGCTTTTTGTTGCCTCCCCTAAAATGCTACATGTAGCTTAACGTCGATCTTTGTAATGCTCCTTGTGGAGTTAAAGCTGCTATATAAACATTACCTTTTTTCTATCAAAGTTGCTGACAACAGGAACTGGTCCCCTCATTTTTATGTGCAAATTTGCAAATATTTTGCATGTGGGAATGTGCATCCGGTCTGTCAGTCACAAGTCTCCATACCCTACAAACCTGTCACTGAAGACCAGGCCAATTGGTCTTGTCTGCGCCTGTTTTTTTTGTTTACCTTTTGAAATTGGGGACTTAAAAGGTTTGGAAAGGACTGTTGTTAGTGTTGATACTTCAGAACTCAAATCTGTTGGTACCAGAAACTTGGGGCATATGTGAAACAGCAGGGACAGGGTGTCTGTAAAGATCATTTGTTTGGTGTGGGTCAATAAGCCAAGAGATTAAACTCAATTTTATAATCTTCTGTCACCTAAGTACCAGATGGTGCTCGTTTTGCTTCTGTTTTAACTTGATTTAGTTGTAACAGTCCTAAGAATATTTTTAAAAAAAATTTGTTCACCTATATAATGCCTCAGCAAGTCTCTGAAACATCCTAAAGCATTTCACATACAAGGAATTGCTAAAGTACAAGAATTTTCTTTGTAGGTGAATGCTAAACATTTTTGATATGGCCTCAATACGCAAAGGACAAAAAGTCCAGGCAATTCATTTGACTGAAAGTGAGAGGAAAACGGGTTGACCTTATGGGTGGGATCCTTTTGAAGCCAGCTGACTCAGCAGCTAGACTCTGCAGTGCTGAACATAAACTAGCTTGTACATGACATTCCCAAAAGATCTATTTGTTCTAGTCCTTAAGAGAGAACCCTCAGTGCTTCACGTTTGGAGCTGGGCAGTGAACAATTTGAGACAAACTGGTTCACAAAGGCTCCTTGTTAGGGGGAACTGACCAGACACATCATCCCAATTGAAGCCCCCTGTCAGTGTATATACTGACAGAGTGTGACACAATTTATTTCTCAGCTACCACTCTTTACTGATCAATGGTGAACTATCTCCAACAGCAAGTTACTTGCCCTAAGTTTCAGCCATGGCATGGTATTCACATTGCTATCTCGATCCACATGTGAATTCTCAAGCCCTAAGCAATCTAATTTGAGTCCAAGCAATCTAGTCCCTTTTTGTTCTTAATGACTGGTTAGACTTGTTTGAATTTTGTAGCCCTGGTGATGAGGGATTGATTTAGTGCTGTTGCCCCTTCTATAAATAAATTCTAAATCCACCCACCAAGATATGTTGGTATCAGCACCCTGATATGTATGCACCACCACACTGGAAGAGACATTTCCATTTTATGTTCTCTCACCTGCCTTCCCATCCCCCCCACAGCCTCCACCCCCAAAAGATAAACTGTAGACTGTAGAATGTAGAACATGGGCCTGGCAATGATTAAATGTGAACAGCCTTGATTGCGCTCTGTTACTGGCTCACGTTTGAGGAGTGACTATTTTTCAATGACGATGCTGTGGAAAAGTGACTGTAAACCCTTACTAAACTCTCAATCTGCCTTTGCTGAGCTGCTAATAATCTCAATGCTCTTGCAATATCGGCGAGAAGTCAGTGTTATGGGTGGCATCACTCCTTTGCTTCATTCCATCTGAAGGTCAAAGTGAATACCTGTTGGGAGGGAAGAAACAGCACAAAAGGTAGGTCTGAAGCCCTTTTGAAGATTTATCACTGGACCCAAAACATTAACTTTGCTTTCTCTTGACTTCCATTGGCATCAACCAGTTTATATAAGGACACAAGGTAATCAAAGGTCTCAGCAAGTCCTCTTTCCTCCTCATCACGTCAAAGCACACAAGACGCACCAGGTTGAGATGAGACAGCATTGTGCTGCTCTCATTAAATAGTGTTGGGGGGCGTGGAGAAGACAAGCCAGACCTGCTGAGTTTTTACAGCAATTTGTTTTTCTTTGTGGCGCAAAAAGTATGTGCTCAATTAGTAATTTATTCTGTTTTGCAGTAATCCAGTGCCATGGCGGTGTCAAATTCTGAGTGGTCCCAGAAAGTAGCAGCATTCTATGCTAATCCGTCACATTTTCTTGCCAGTACGACAGCTGAGAACTTTGTTTGCGATCTGCTGAGGGTCCTGGCAGACGAGAAGATCAGTGAAAATGTAAAGGTGCGACACCACCCTGTCCTTTGCCTTCCTATCCTGTTTTACTGAAAGATCCTTGATTTGGGATATTGAGAGGGCACATGGGTTGACTTTGCTTTAATTTCTTCTAGTTTTGTAAATTTGTATTTTAGGACAGGCACTGACTGCAATCTGATAGCTCAGTGAAGTGACCATTTATCATGTTTCAGCCCAGAGATGTGCAGACTGTTTGATCTCACAGCTGAGTGCTGTCAAGGCATCACCCAATGTGGACACGCTTTGTGTTCTTTTTAACTGGGTAGTAGTTGTGAGGAAGTGGGGAAGAGAGATCAGCTCGATCCCTAGCTAATGCCAATTTCTTGTACGCTGACCAGGTGTTTAAATTGGGATCTTTTTGGAGTATATAAAGCTCACGCTTGACAGCGTAACAGCTGAATTACTGGGGAGATGCCGATTCATTCACTTCCTTGGCTGTGAAACAGTGTTTTCAGTTAACAAGACAAATTTGCAGCCTGTGGGGATCAGGTTCTCTGAGTTGATCTCCTTGTTGGCTCTGAGGTCACTAAATCAAAATCCAAGGAAACCGATGGGCAATGATAAAGGAAATACTTCAGATTTATACTGGGATAGTGTCACTGCCATTGTAAAATTCTGGCAATGAAGCTTTGTCCTGTAATAATCTTCCATTTATTTCTTGCAAAGATTTAAACAGTTAAGTCGCTTGATTCACCTTTTGTTCTTTTTCTCACTTGTCACGTCTAAGCCCTGAATGTGTGAAGTGCCCTTGCCAGGGGTTGGTTAGTTGTCTGGATAGCTGATTTGCAATGCAGAGTAACACTAACAGCATGGGTTCAATTCCCACCCCAGCTGAGGTAACATTAAGGACTTTCCTCCTCAATCTCTCCCCTTGTCCGAGGCATGGTGACCCTCAACTTAAACCACCATCAGTCATCACTCTGTAATGAGAGAGCAGCCTTATGGTCCATCAGGACTATGGCGACTTTACGTTTTATGGGTCTCTCAATCCTCAATGTGTTGAAATTAAGTTTCATTGGACCCTCTCCTTTAGCGACTCATTCATCCCTAAAACTTAATTTCAGGAGTTTATTAGTGTCAACCAACAACTGCCCAGTCCTGGAATCTACAGCCTTTCAGAATTCAAGTTTGGTATCAGCTAATCACTAACTCTTTATTTATCTCATTTCTGTTCTTGTAACCTCCATCTTGATTGCATTCCATGGGACTTGGGTTTTTCAATTTGGTCTTCTGATTTTAAGAGAAATTTGGCAGAGAGCTGCAAAATGATTGGTGCTCAAGATCTGTAAAATGTTCTTGTCTGAATTTGCATTTCAGGTTCAGGTTCTCGGGATAATTCAAGAGTTCCCAGGACGGCTGTTCACCAGCTCTCGGGTGGCTGAGCAAGCAGCAGAGTCTATCTTCAGCATTTACTCGCAGCTGCCCTTTGTACCCAAGTCAGTCAATCTGAAATGCCACTTGCTGCTTTCAGTCACTACCATAGTCATTGCCACTGACCACCTGACCAGCAACGAGAAAATACTGAACAACTTGATGGGCCAACTGCTTGATGCAGTGTGTGATGCTAACGATTGCAAATACGGGGGACATTTCCGGCCTCTCAGGGCCCTGGCGTGCAACTGCCTTCGAGAATTTGAAACGTGCTACCCAGGTCTGCTGTCAACGAAACTGGAGATCCTACATACCCTCCAGCAAAAGGAAGTCAGTCTGCTGCACCAGGTCTACACACTGCTATACATACAAGTGTTGAAAAACGCAATCCGCACGCTCTCGCGGTCACGTGTTGTGTCAGAGGGAGCCATCCGTGAACTGTTGATGAGGAACGAGGAAATCAAATGGGAAGTGATGGAAAAGCCACAGGATTTATTAGCCATCACCGCAACCACCAATCTATCTCCATTACCGGTTACCGTTGAAACAAAGGAGTTGAAGTCTTCCGTGACTTTGCTGCTGGAGGAGTCCTTCCTCCTAACTCCAGTATCCCAAGCTGCATTGTTTCACGAGTTGATCCAGGTGGTCCTTATGGTGCGCTCACTTTCTCCAGCCATTTTCCGATCCCAGTTACTGCGTCTGTTTGGGACAATGGATATCTCCTTGATGCACACCATGCTGCACATGAAGGCAAGTTTCACTGACAGTCTTTTCAGTGCTGAGGATGAGAACTTCCTGTTGAAGCGTCTAGTCTGCATGGCCCAGCATCCATTGCTCAGCAATCCCCTCAAGCTCTTCTACATGGATTGCTTACTTCATTTCCCTGAAAACCGCCCCATTAACTCTAACCTCGAAGAGAATCTTCCAGTTTTGTTCACGCCAAAGATGGCAGCTTGCCTTTTCCCCACACTATTTAATGATAGCAGCACAATGCTGTCTCGTCTCAACTTGGTGAGTCTTATGTGCCTTGACAGTGCTGAGGAGGAAAGAGGACTTGCTGAGATCTTTGATTACCTCGTGTCCTTGTATAAACTGGTGGATGCCGATGGAAGCCGAGGACATACTGTGACATTTTTCCAAGTTGTGTATATATTTGTGAGTTGCTTCCATGCCAGTGAAATTTACATGTCAGAGCTGACTCAATATATGGTTAAACTGTACCAGAGACATTGCACCTTAGCTCCACACATGATTAATCTCATCGATAGCATTCAGCACCTCTTGGAGGATTCAAAGTGGCCTGTTTCATTGGGGGATGCTTTGCGCAAGCTGATCGTCGAGCTCCCATCCGAGCAACTATCTCCTCATAAACTCATATGGCACCTCAAGGTCCTTGCAAGAGTGGCCAAAGAACCCACCATAACACAGAAAGCAACAGTTCAATTTTTACTGAACGTTGTTCGAGCTTCTGACATGTGCGGGCTGGGTGAGTGGAGGATGGGTAACGCAGTCTTGTCTGTGTGCAGAAGCATTCTGCATCACCAGAACGTGAAGCCCATCTTCAGTGACCTTGCAGACCTCCTGCAGCACATTCACGTCCAGTTCCAGGACATTGACATTCAGGATCATGCCCATTTCTATTATGCTTTACTCACCTGCCTCTCCCACGAGAAGCTGGCAGGAATCGTTGCACCAGGGTCCGGCAACTGTAATCGGGCAAAGGCACGATCACTCTCATCCCTAATGTCAGAGAGTGCAGGTCACTCCATTTCTGTTCTTCCAATAAAACACCCAGTACTGAAACTCATTCCAGTCCCAGAAGAAGGTCCTTCCAACAACAATCCAACTGGAGACACAGACATGAACTACTATGAGGAAGATTCCTTAGAGAAATACTTGAATCAATTTCAAAACGTTGGGTTTGCTTCTGCCGTTGTGATGAACTTCCATTTGACTTTTGCAGAGAAAGTCGATCCTGATTATCACAAAATCTACACTGTGCATTTACATTTTGACCTGAGGAGCATTCACTATGAGCCGTTGAGTGATCTCCACGTCCCCTGTCTCTTCCTAAACAGAAATCCTCATGTTTTCTCCTTGGCTTTCAAGCCACATCTCCCTTTTCCTGTCACTTTACACACGAGAGCAGTCTTTACCACGGAGGACGGCAGTACATGTTGTAGCCAGCTCGAGCCTGTTGACATCGGCTTTGCCTGTTTGTTCCTGGCCCCTCCCGTACCAACAAATTGGCCGTCGAAAATGAAGGCTCAACTCTTTAGCCAGTTGTGGGAATCCTTGCTGCAGACTGGATCCAGCCAGTCTGTTCTCAGTCGCTTCTGTTTTACAATAGCTCGGAGACCTCTGAGTGAACTCACAAACTTGCACTTTAAAAAATATGTGGTTTCTCAGCAAACTGACCCAGAGTCTTACAAAATTTTTCTGTTCCTACCCCCTCGAGTCCATCTTTTGCTCAGTGTGGAGCAGGTGGACAATGTGGCAAAAGTCGACATTGTCACTGATAACTGGCAGCTTTTACCCTTCATTAATTCTTACCTGATTGACATAACGTCTGAAAAATAGCTGCTGCGAGCTTGGTGGTCGGAACACAGTGCAGTTATTAAACTATTTCTGTGTGGTACCACTTTGAATGTACTTCCTTATTCAAGCTACCAGTTTGTCTTCTGGGATTATTGCTGAGTGTGTGATGCCTGCTCTAAGTTGTTGAGAGTGCGGCATTTTGAGACAAATGCTAAGTTAATACCATTCTGTTTTCTTTAATGTTGTCTTAACGGCATAGAATTTACTCTAAATGCAGGGAATTTTGCCCAGCAAATTCCCAGTTTAATGTCCTGGCTGGGTTGAATTAGCTGATGTTAATCCAGGTCATTACAGAACCTATGTAAGGGGTGCTCTAAGGGTGGATAACATCAAACCAGCCAGGTTTCTTGTTGATCAAACAGTGACGTCCTTGTAAGACCTAGACATCAGTTGGAAAGGATAGGATCTGCATTGGAAATGATGCCCTTTGTAACTCGAGTCTGTGTTGCTTCCTGACAGACTTACACATGATGCATGTTGCATTCGGCAGCTAGTGCCATTGGAAGTGGACTGTAGAAGGTTGATACCTTCAGAAGTGGAGGGATCAACAGGGATGAGGAGAGTTAGTACAGATTCAATGGGTCGAATGGCTTGCTTCCACACTGTAGGGATTCTATAATCGATCAGTGTTTGCTATTTTCCTTTAATTCATCAACTTTGGTATTGTACATAACAAATATTTTTATATATGGCTTGGTACTTCTCAGATGTTTTGTGTTTTCCTTGTAATTTCATTCTGTTGAAGGGAGCCATAGGTTACGAGAGGATGACCATGTAAAATAATGTCTCAATCCAGAGTTCACAGCATACAAAGCCTCAGCGTTGACAAAGCCCCGTACCTTTTATCTCCTTTCTGAAATGGCTAGACCGGAGAGATGCCCAGTCTGCAGCATTGCTGGGGAAAGTGCCTGCTGTGACAGTGCATTGTTCACTGTTCACTGCTCACTGAGTGTGTCTCCGAGCAGCTGTCTTAAATCCCCTTCCACACCAAAGACTGAAAATCAATCTGTCTTTGTACCGTTCCCAGGATAGAGTTGGAGGCCATGGGAGCACAGCTGATTGCAGGGCGAAACAAATACGCCATGAAGTTCCAGTTGTGGCCACACTGAAATAACCATTCAGTTCCTTTCAGCATTTACTCTTGAGCTAAGATCGTTTGTGTGTTCTCATTGATCTCTGTGTGAATCAGAGCAGTGCAATAATCATTGACTACGTTATGTAACTCTAACTTGTCAAGGCCTTCTCACAAAGAATGACGTAGCGAATGGCTGTCAGTTATTTCGTTGAGCTGAAACAGGTGCAATGTGTGTACATCACCTTTCTGTCCACAAAGAGAGGGGCCTCTCGTTTAATAAATGTAGCTCTCAGTGCATCAAAGTGTACTGCATTGCAGTGCAAGTCCAGTTGAGAATTCTATTCTGAGTACTGTTGTTTATCTCTCCAGTGTGGAAAACCAGTCACGCTGTTATGTTTCCTGTTATTCAGTCAAATTTGTACTGATTCAGCCAATGCCCCTTCTGTTGGACATAGCTCAAATTTGAAGAAGTCTGTGATATGGCATGTCATGAAATACCTTTCAAAAGTACATTGAGGTTGCATCAATTATACTTGCCACACTCCCCACTCATGCAATTCAGATAGTTAAACATGAATTTCCCTCAACAATCCTGTACTGACCTTCCCTAACTATTCCATCTTTTGTTAAAGCAATTGTTAACGTTGTCCTAGATTGCTGCTTCTAAAAGCTTTCCTACCCTCCTATCCCACTCCCCACCCTGGCGTTAAACTGATGAATCTAGCAAATACAAGCCGATCACCCACTTTGGCTAATGATATAACGTTTGCAATTCTCCAGTCCTTTGGCACCGCATCACCCCACCCCAACTAAGGAGTTGGAAGACTACGAGTGCACTGCCACAATTCTGCCCTTCCTTCAACATCCTCCAACTTATTCAACGTTGTCCTTTTTCTTTATCCAATTTAATGACAATCAGCTTTTTAAATACCATCCATTTTTCAGCGTCTTAGTTATCCCCTCCTTCAAATGACTTTGGCAGCATCTTCCTTGATAAGGGTACAATTGTAAGGTTCGGATTTTTGTATTTGATTAAATGTGTCTGATATTTGTCCTTGGTGTTTCTTGGGATGTGGTGACTGACAATCAAAAACTAAACTGAAGCAAGCAACTATAAGCATCAGATCAGATATTTTAAAGAATTGAACAAAACCCATCCTAGCATTAAACTTGGGACTGTGTTATCTCTGCCTATCTTAAAGGAGTCAAACACAAACAAACTCATTTAGTACTTCAGCTATCTCCCCTGTTATGTATAGATCTCCTTTCTGTGCCCTAATTGGCCCCAGCACTAATTTTGCTGTTGCTGTTACTGTTACATGACTGTCAAAAATCGGTGATCATCCTACTTTGCACACTTTCTAAAAACACATTTGAATACAGTGACAACCTAGATTTGTGGAGCCATGACATCAGTACATCTAAGCCTTCAGGCAGAGCACCTTGATAGGCAAAAAATATCACATCCATCAGAAAGGATTTTAACCCATTCTTTACTGGGCTGGAGGGAAGTTAGCCCTTGGCTGCTTGTAACCAAAACAAAACAAAAAAGTTCTCATTCATTTATTGTTATTTGAGACATTCTGTCCCTGTTCTAGTACAAATTTTCTCCCCCATGAGTCTCTTGTGGATCTTGTTACTTCCGACATTTGCAAAATCTGACTAGGAGTAAAGAGAGCTTTTGTTCTTAACAAGTTGTTGGATATTTGCCCTGGGAAGGAAAACCCTGCTTTTAAGATATGTGTCATGCACAGCTGAAGCATCTGCAGCCATGTTCAACAGAACTGCTAAGTGGATGATCCTTCTTGGCCTACTCCGTAGATTCCCTGTGTCTCGGATGCCAGTCTTCAACCAATTGCATTTACTGCACCTGCTATCAAGAAACAGCTGAAGGTACTGCATATTGCAAAGGTTGTAGTCCCTGACAACAGTGTTGTCAATTGTCACACTGGAAACTTGTGTAGGTCTGTGTGGGGACTGAAATTCCTGAGGAAGTGGTGGATGCAGGTGCAGTTACAATGTTTAAAAGCCATTTGAATAAGTACATGAATAAGACAGATATGTGCCAAGTACACACAGCTGGGAGTAGTTTAGTTTGGGATTATGGCCGGCGTGGTCTGGTTGGACCAAAGGGTCTCTTTCTGTGCTCCATGACTCTAGCCATGTTGTTTCAGTATAGCTGCAACTCCTGGCATCTACCTGGCAATGTCCTGCCCACAAAAGCCAGGGCAAATCCAACCTTAGCAATTACTGCCCCAGCAATCTACTCTTGATCATCAGCAAAATGACAGAAGGTGTTATTGACAGCTCTAGATATAAACAGCTCCCTCGTGTTGGGGCTGAGTTTGGGGCTCACCTAGGGCTGCTAGTTTCCAGACTTCATTACAGCCTTGGTTTATACATTCCCCAAAGAGCTGAGCCCAAAACGTGAGGTGAGAATGATTTCTGTTGATCTTGAGGTGACATTTGACCAAGAATGGCATTGAGAAGCACTACCACACCTGGAGTCAATTAGCATCATTTTGTGTATGTGGTTGAAGTCATCCTTCATGTTCCTCATGTTAACGCTATGCCCAGCCATCTTAGACTGCTCCAATACAGACATTACCTCCCACATAAAATCAGAAGGAAGGTCTTGATTACACAATGTTCAAAACCATTTGCAATTCCTCAGATATTGAAGCAGTCTATGCCCAAGTGCAAAAAGACCTGGACAACATTCAGGCTTGGACTGACAAGTGGCAAGTAAGATTGACATCATTTCGGTGCCATCAAGGACAATTTAACACTATCTGTTGTCAGTCAGTGCATTATGATCACTGAATCTCCCAATAATCTGCACTCTTGTGGTTGCTATTAACCATTATAAATGCTATGGTTACAAAGGTAGAGTGGAGGCTGGGTGTTCAACAGCAAGTAACTACCACACCTCCCAACCCCACTAACTCCGCAAACCCTGTCTCCCATCCACAACAGACCAGTCAGGAGTGTGATGGAATACTCCTCACTTGTCCAGATGAGTTCAGCACCATCAAAACTCAAGAAGCTTGACACTTCCACAACAAAGTGGCCTGCTTGATTGGCATGCCATCAGCCACCTTCAACATTCACATCCTCCACCATTGGCACATACAGGTTGCATTATGCACCATCTGTAAGGTACGCTGCAGCATCTCATCAAGTCTCCTTCAATAGAGCCTTTCAAACACATGACCCATACAAACTGGAAGGGCAAGGGTGGCAGAGGGATAGAAACATCACCAACTGCAAGTTCCCAAACAATCCAGACTTGGAAATGTATCACCGTTCCTTTGTTGTTATTGGGTCAAAATTCTGGTACTCTCTGCCCAACGGCACGTTGGATGTGCCTACACCACAAGGACAGTAGTGGTTCAAGGAGGCAGCTTCCCATCACCTTCTCAACAGCAGTTAAGGATGGCTCTATGTAGTGATCTCAGCAATGGTCAAACACCATAAACAGTTTTTTTTGAAAAAGAGCACCATGCTCTCACAGTTCAGGCTGTGTGGAGAAGAAGGCTCCTTCTCCCATTGCCCTTCACCAATCTGCTTCAACTCCAATCTCAGAAAAAATCTCAGCCTGCACTAGGCGCTTTTGAATCCTGACACGAACCCTGACTGAATATTCTGTGGGGAATTGGGGTAGAGTTTGCATCAATGCTTATTAGGACTCGTATGAAACTGCTCCAACTTATTTTATCTCGCATCGAGCTCTGTCCTATCTTAGGCAAAACTGCCAAACTGCAGCTGTGGAGCTGTTGTCCATGATGCCTCTCTTCAATCATCAGTTTTCAAAACTCAGACTTTATTTCCGTTGTCGAGGGGATTTCAGTAAACCGATGGCGTGTGTGAAACGCACCAGTCACTTCACACACTACACAGCATTAGAATTACAGTTTCTGGCCCTGCATGGGTTTCCTTTGGGTGCTCCGGTTTCTCCCACAGCCCAAAGATGTGCAGGTTAGGTGGATCGGCCGTGCTGAAATTGTCTGTAATGTTCAGGGATGTGTAGCCAAAGGAAAGGCAGGGTTATGGGATATGATGGGAGTCTGGATGGCTTTTGGAAGGTCAGTATGGACTCAATGGGCCAAATGGCCTCCTTCTGCACTTTAGGGGATCTATGATTCTGTGAAACCTGGTAGAGATTGGGAGACCATTTGTCTGAAATATGCATGGTTACAGATTCTTCACTTATTTTGTGAGCAACTTGAGAAGTGTCAAGCCTCTTCACAAAATTTAAGGCAATCTAGAAATCTTATGTCCCTATCAAGTTTAGAATGTTTTGTTTTGTTAAGCCATTAAGCATTATGGAACCAAGACAGATAGACAGAGTTAAACTACAAATCATTCATGATCTAATAGAGGGACAGCACAGGTTCATTGGCTGAATGGCCTACTCTTCCTGTGACCCATATGCAGGGATGTATTGAAGGTATAATGGAGCATTAATGTTCATAGGATTATAGCAGTCAATTCCTGTTGTAGATTGGTGCTATAAATGACAGGGGTAAACACTGAGGTTGTTTCCCCTGACTGACAAATTTAGAGAATGGAGCTCATAGGATCAGAGTCCAATCATTTACAACTGAGATGAGGAAAAACCTCTTCACTCAAGGAGTTGAAAGTCCTTGGAAGTCTCCACCCCAGAAGGTTGCAGATGTACCATCATTGAATATATTTAAGACTGCAGGACAGATTTTTGGCTTTTGAGAGAAGTGATAGATATGGTGACGGGCAGAAAATTAGAGTTGAGACTGAAAATCTGCCATGATGAACTGTTGGAGCAGACTTAAGGGACTGTATAGTTTCCTGCTGCTTCTTTTTAATATTCTTATTTACAATGGTGATACCTTTGGGATGAGCAATTTATAACCAGGTCATTAGTTATTCATATTCAAAGTGTAAGTAAGTACAGTAATAACAGTTCAATTTGCTGAATTTCCTCCATGGATTTGAGATTCTCAGATGATTGTAACTATTTGTGTTGGTTGGCATCATTTAAGAATGAAGTTTTCCCTTCTTAACCTGGTTTGCTGTTACAGATATTAATGGGCAGATGCTTATCATGTTCTTATGCTATTCCCCAGTGTGTTATTTTATACGATGCTGGCCCATTTCATATAAATAGAATACTGTCTACCCTCTAAACAAACAAAAGGGAAGTCAAATGAACATAGCAGTGTTTTTCTACTGTTAGCCCACACAGTCATTTCTAGGCTGTGTTGCTGAAAGAGACGGAACCATGAATTTCAAAGGAATAGGCGTGAAACAAAGTTTTAAAATTATCCAGTGTGACCATCAGGGAGCTCAGTGTTTTCTGGAATCAAAACCTCCTTTTCAGGACACGTTCGAATCTTTGAGGCTATTTTTGTCGGCAGGGAGAATCATCGGTTCGAGTCCATGGAAGTTGGGTTCTGTGCTGTGTGGCAGTGTCTGCTGCTGGGTCAGGAGCTTGTTAATGAGACCAACTTCGGAATCTCTTTTCTCAATCTCCTCGTATGGTGTCCATGACATGTCATGCTGCAGCTTGTAGGCACCAAGGAACTCGTGAGGGTGGTTCGGCCCCCACTCCTAACGTGAATTGTAAATAAAGAACAGGTTTAATAAGAAGCGTAAGATTTGAATATACAGCAACTTTCACAGCCATAGGTCATTCCGAACCACTTTACATGCCAAGAAAGTACTTTCAACATAGAACAGTACGGCACAGGAACAGGCCCTTCAGCCCACTATGTCTGTATGACCCTAAACTAATCTCATCTACCTGTACATTGTCTACTTTCCTGTATTCTCTGCCTGTTCATATGTCTGTTTAAATGCCTCTTAAATGTTGCTATTCTATCTGTTTCTACCACTTGCCCTGACCGTACATCTCAGGCACTTACCACCTTTGCATAAAAAACTTCCCTTGTACATCTCCTTTAAACTTTCCCCCCTCACCTTAAACCTATGCCCCTTATTGTTTGACATTTCCACCCTAGGAAAAGGACTCCGATTCTCCACCCTATCCACACCTCACATAATTTTATATACCAATATCAGGTTGCCCCCTCAGCCTCTGACACTTTAGCAAAAACAATCCAAGTTTGTCCAGCCTCTCCTTACAGCTAATATTCTCCAATTCAGGCAACATCCTGGTAAACCTCTTTTGCACCCTCTCCAAAGACTCCACATCCTTCCTATATGTGGCGGCCAGAACTTTACACAGGACTCCAAATGTGGCCTAACTAAAGATTATACAATGTATAGTTGTTGTGGTAATGTAGGGAAAGGTAATAAGCAACTTAGAACAAAGAACAATACAGCACAGGAACAGGCCCTCTGGCCCTCCAAGCCTGTACTGACACGTTTTGCCCTTCCATACTAAAACTGTCTTCACTTACAGCATCTGTATCCCTTTAATCCCTTCCTATTCATGTATTTGTCACTACAACTCTAAGGGATGTGACACTCACGGATATGACTCTAAAGGATGTGGCATTAAGAGATGTTGCATTCAGGGATAGGGCGGTGCCAGTGATGCCTGTGGTAGTAAAGAGGAGCCCTTGCCAGGCTACACTCTCACACACACTCTGCATAAATCTGGTAAACAAACTACAGATTAGGTGAGATTTGAAGTTCCTCTTTTTGGGAAACGGACCAAGAATTAACTAAAGACTGTTGGCAAACGTTCAATCGACATCGTCTGTTGCTCTTTCAGGTGTCTCTGCTTCTTGACTGCTGCTATTGTGTCAGCTTCTACCACCTCCTCTGGCAGCACTTTCCAGGCACTCACCACCCTTTGTGTGAAAAATGTGCCTCGTACATCTCTTTTAAACTCCTGCCCACCCCGCACCTTGAACCTGTGTCCCCTAGTAATTGACCATTCCACCCTGGGAAAAAATCCTCATACTTTCCACTCTATCCATGCCATTCACAATCTTGTAAACTTTTATCAGGTCACCCTTCAACCTCCTGCATTCTAGTGAAAACAAACCCAGTCTATCCAACCTTTAAAATCCCCCATACCAGGCAACATCCTGGTGAACCTTTTCTGTACCCTCTCCAAAGCATCCACAACCTTCTGGTAGTGTGGTGACCAGAACAGTACACAACAATGCATTAGAAAGGTCCAACAAAGCCATAATGGCCGAATGATCTGTTTTAATGAGATAGAAATTAGTAATGACCAGGACACCAACAGTAACCACTATTCTGTGGATGGGACCATGAGATTCTGTATATCCACATGATTTAACTTCTCAATTGAAAGATGCCATGTGAAACCCTTTCAACTGAAGTGGCGGTCCTGATTCTGTGCTCAAGTGCTTGCAGTGGAACATGAACCCAGAAACCTCTGACTCAGAACCAAGTGTGTTACCAACTGTGCCACGGCCAAGAACTTATTGAGGGTTCATGGTTCGCTGAACAAACCAAATTTCTGATCTACCCCGAGCTACATTACAATGCAGCTGCAATGCATCAGGATCTCCTTTTACTTCCTTAGAAATATTTAAAGCCCACTGACCTTTGGTGAAAGGATGGAGAAGTATTTCTGACCAGAATCCCGCCTGTACATGAAGTACACCGTGCCAGGCTTCTTCACAATGTTGCAGGCGACATGATGGAGATCCGCATCCCTCTTGGCCTCTTCCAGGACCTGGATAGAAAGAAATGTTACACTAGATCAGATCATTGAGGAGCAGCACTATACATGATGCTGTCACAGACAGTGAAGATGGGAAAACTCTAGGCATAATTTTTGTCACGGTGAAAGAAGCTGAAGCAGATGATCTGGCTTTTTTGGGATGGAGTTACAGGATTTTGACTCAGCAATGGTGAAAGACGCTGTGTGACCTGGAAGGGAACTTAGTGATGGTGGTGTTCCCATTGACCTGATGTCCATGTTTTTCGAGATAGTGGGAGCTCTGAGAAGTCTAAATTGAGGGGCAGCAGGCCACTTTGTAGATCAGGGGTTCTCCACAGGCAGTCTGTAAGGGGCTTCAATTGCTTTACCAAAACAGCACCTTCCAAGCATAAAACCACTTTAAATATCTGGTAAGGTGATAAAAATTCAGCTGTACTTATCCTGTCACACAATAGAACCATTGCTTGTGAAATCACACACTCCCAGCATAGACAGGAGTAGGGTATAGAGATGTGACACAAAGGGATGTGATAACTCCACAAAGGCAGGTATCCTGTACCAAGTCACACTTCGTTTATATGTGCATAATACATTGCACAGACCCAGCTAGCTCAGAGCTGGCTCCTAGAGTGAGCAGAACCCCTGACACTACTATTTATATCTATCAGCCAGGGATCCCTGATTGGACCAGATTAACCAGGTTTCCCAATCAGGGAACTGACCTTGTTACAATCACTACAACTCTAAGGGATGTGACACTCACGGATATGACTCTAAAGGATGTGGCATTAAGAGATGTTGCATTTTGGGATAGGGCGGTGCCTGTGATGCCTGTGGTAGTAAAGAGGAGCCCTTGCCAGGCTACACTCTCACGCACACCCTGCATAAGTCTGGTAAACAAACTACAGATTAGGTGAAATTTGAAGTCCCTCTTTTTGGGAAACGGACCAAGAATTAACTAAAGACTGCCGGCAAATGTTCAGTCGACATCATCTGTTGCTCTTTCAGGTGTCTCAGCTCTGGGTTTCAGTGGCACTGGTTTCCAAAGTCAGGCATGGCATGAGAGGATGGTCATGGTGCCCATTGCTATGACCTTGGGAACTCATGGTGCCAGGTTGGAGTCCGAGGGCTATCTCTGATGTGAGGTTCAGAAAGCCGTGAAGGCTGACAATTCTCATTTATGAAATCATCATTTTGCATCAAATGCAGAGTTTAGCTCCACTTCACACCCAGGTACCTGTCTGATTATGGAATTTTAATGTGTCAATTTTTGCAGCTGATCTTTACCGCAAAACGGGTACCAACAGCATGTTTTGCAGAAAGTAAATCCAACAAAAACAAATTTCAAGTGTATATACTAAACTGCAAAACATTATTGATAGAAAAAAATACACAGGTTAATTTTTGGGGGCCCATTGTTGTAACACAAGAAGGGGGAGATCTCAGAAGCTGAGAAACGTGTTGTAAATAGTACCCAATGATACCATGGTAGTGGAGGATGTGTAGACATTCTAACATGCACTGTTGACCACAGCCTGATATTCAATATAAAACGGCAATCAGCTGCTCTTCTGGCGTCTAAAGACCAACAGCAAGATTCAACGTTGCTAATTCTCCACCGATGTCCCTGGAGACAGTTTGCACCTTTATTGCAATTAAGTGCCCCAAGACAGCATGGTAAATCAGGCAAACTGAATCAAAAGGAAGAGTATGAGCACAGATGACCAATACAGATGGGTTTTACTTGAGTCTTAAAGCAGGAGAGAGAAGCGGAGAGGTGAAGACGTTACAAAAGGGAGTTTCAGAGATTAGAACCTCGATGACTAAAGGCCAAATCACCAGAGACAAATGTAACTGATGCTTTTGGTGAGCCTGGAAGTCAGATATCATCGTTTGTTCTGATTGCCAGCAGTCTGAGAGCTCGTTCCACCCTGTCCCTATGGCCCAGGCGTTGCTCTGTCTGTACTCCAGTAAAACACACTGACAATGGGGAAGCCAGCCATCAGCAAGTTAAAATTATAGTTATGATCCCTACAATCCAAATGACCCCAATTCTATCCGGGAATGTGGACGAGCTGCATTTACAATGTCTGCAGATATGTCAAGCTAGAAACGTTACAAATTTCACCTTGCTTCCTTTTAGGCTGTCAGAACCAGGTTATCCAAGGGAGGCTGAGGACCTGGAGAAATGGGACGAGACCAAAAACAAAAAGAAGGAGGGGTAGGGGAGATGACACAGAACTCAAAGACTCTTCTCACCTTTCGGGCTTTCTCTTGGAGATACTGGATTTGCTCCGCGATCACAGTCAGTCTGTTACAAGCGTTGGCATGTATAAACTCATCTGCCTGGAAACACAAGGGCTTAAATTTAATGCAACAATATTTCTAATTTAAGTTCACCAAGGCATCTTGACCCACACTGGTCTGCCAGTCTGAAACTGGATGACCACACAACCAGCAATCTACCCAATCCATTTGCAAGTAATCATACACACGGGAAGAGGCCATTCAGCCCCTCAAACCTGTACCGCTCATGGCTGATTTGTGACTTAACTCCATTCACCTGCTTTAGTTCCATAACCTATAATACTTCTGTCAAACATGTCGAGTTGAGGCTTGACATTCTCAACTGATCGCAACAGCCCTTTGGGGCACAGAGTTACAGATATTTCATGCCATTTCTGTGACAAAATGCTACTCAGTATTGCCCAGAATGATATAATTTTCAGGTTATTTCAGAGCTTGTAAAACAAAACCATTTCCCGTGTACTGGAAGAGCCCAATTCATTCCCTTGTCATCCGTCTATTATGGTTCATTGTAAATATGAATTTGGTATTTCAGAAATACTAAGGGCAGCGCTCCCCCATGAGTCAGTGGTCTAATTTCTGTCTGCAAAAAAAGACCCTGAGCTTCCAAGATAACAAGGTGTAGAGCTGGATGAACACAGCAGGCCAAGCAGCATCAGAGGAGCAGGAAGGCTGACGTTTTGGGCCTAGACCCTTCTTCAGAAAAAATGAGCTTCCAGTTGCCTGCCACCTCAACACACTACCCTGTTCCCTGGCCAACATTTCTGTCTCAGTTTGAGTTCAATAATTTTAGGACCTAAACTCTCCCATGTAACAGCCCCCCACCCCACACACCAGGCCCTGTTACCACATAGCCTGCCATTACACACCCCGTGTCGTTCGTCACTAACAGTCCCCATTAACAACTATTCACCCTCCCAGCCTGATCATTAGCAACTCCTTTGTCTGTCCAACTGTCTTTCTCTCTCTTTGGGCTCTATCCTATCGTTTACTCCCTACCCCACCCACCTCCTTATTTTTTGCATATAAACTGATGTTTTCCCAGCCACCATCAGTTCTGAGGAAGGGTCACCGGACCCAAAATGTTAACTCTGTTTTCTCCTTCACAGATGCTGCCAGACCTGCTGAGATTTTCCAGCAATTTTGTTCTTGTTCCTGATTTACAGCATCCGCAGTTCTTTTGGTTTTTATCTCCGTCTCAGGCTTGCTGCAGTGCTCAGCAAAACTCAGCCCAAGCTGGAAAAACTACATCTCATTTCCCGCTTGGAGACCCTGCAGTTTTCTGGACTCAATATCGAATTCAATAACTTTAGGGCTCGAGCTCTCCCATGTCATTACCCCAACCCCCATGCACAAGACCTTGTTATCACATAGTCTGCTATTACACACAACCTATTGTTAGCTACTAACAGTCTCCATTAACAGCTATTCACCCTCCTAGCCAGATCGTTATCCACTCCTTTGCCCAACTGTTCTTCTCTCTCTTTGAGCTCTATCCCCATCCATTGTTTACTCCTTACCCCCTGACCCCTAGCCTACCTTCTGCATAAAAACTGACATTTTCCTAGTTATCATCGGTTCTGAGGAAGGGTCACTGGACCCGAAACGTTAACTCTGATTTCTCTCCACAGATGGCTGCCAGACCTGCTGAGCTTTTCCAGAAATGTCTGTGTTTTTGTTTGGGTCTAATTTCTGCACTGAGTTAAGCGATACGAACCAAGGTATAATGTAGAGTTTACAATTGGGCACTGGCTTGGGGAGGAGGCAGGGTAGAGGATAATATAACCAGCTGATGGAAAATGCCTGTCTGAACAACAGGATTTACTTGGGTCATTGGCCAATAGAGCAGGCCCACACATGAAGAGTGGGTGAGGTACCTGTTTCAACAGGCAGCCACCACAGTTTGTAAACATGCCCTGGTGAGGGTGGCTTTGTCACCGGGGGAATTTTTGAAAAGTTTTTTGGTTCATCTTTTAAAACTTCTGCGACTGCACGCAACTGAAAATAAAAGCAGACTGGAAAACACCCAAAGTACGCACAGGGGCAAAACAGAAAGTTCGAGCAGCTTTACAATGAACAGGAAGAGGCAATGTAGAATTGAAAGAGAGAACATGACAGAGAGAACAGCAAGAAATAAGATCAGGTTCGAGGGAGAGGCTGGAAGGAATTTGATTTTATGGTTGATGCAGCTTCAATCTCATTTTAAAAAGGGAGTCACATTTGCATCTGAAAAGTTAGACTGTAAAAAATAGGAAGTCGTGTTGAGAAGAGGTAGTTCTGAGTTTGAAACCATACAGTGGCAGTGCACTGGATCAGTAATCCAGTGACAACTTCACCCAACCAAGGAGCAGCGCTCCGAAAGCTTCTGATTTCAAACAAACCTGTTGGACTAAAACCTGGTGTCATGTGACTTTGACTTTGTGCCCCCAATAAGGGGAATCTGTCTTCCCAGACAACTTGAGTTTATGTCCCATGGCAGTTTGAGAATTTGGACTAAGTTGACAAAGAAAATATATGGTGATGCAAAGGTGGAATCAATAGCCTAATGCTGCCAAATTGCTGATAAAAATCGAACTACAATTTGAGGGAAGGAAAGCTGCTGTACTGCCCTGGTCTGACCTGTGATCCATTCCCTAAATCCACATGGATATGAGCCACCCTTAGAAAAGTGGCTTAGAAAAACACTCAGCTGTATCAGCTAACACAGGGTTAAAGAAAGACCTTTTCGGGGAAATAATGATGAACATTAAATCATAGCTTTTCCATTGATGCTGAAATTCCAAATCTAAATTTGAAGAGCAGGCCAGATATCCCCTTTGTCTGAAAGCAGGACAGCTCATCATTAACAAACAGGTTGCAGCAAGTTTACATGCCATTTTAATCAGAGGAACATCAATGGTTTCTACCCCATCTGGTGATTAATATATAACAGCCTGTGGCCACAGAGCAGAAAATAAACCCTTGGCGGAGTCAGAACACCTTCATCCAGTGATAAGTAGAGAGCAGACTGCAATGGGAGTTGCCATTTCAGTCAGTTGGTTGGAAACCAGGAAGAACATCAGAGATTCAAATCTTCTGCTGTTGAGCAATCAAATTATTTTAGTTATGCTGCCAATCATGCAACTGTTTACAGGATGAGGAAATTTCTTCATGACGGATTCGCAGATACACTAATATTCACACATGGCTCTCCTCAAATAAAATAAAGGTTTATGTTAGAATATAGGAAGTAGGAGCAGGAGTAGCTGATTCAGGTTCCACTGTCATTCACTACAATCATGGCTGATCTACCTCAGCTTCACTTCCCTACATTATCCCTGTATCTCTAAGTATCCAAACATCTAATAATCCTTGTGTTGAATATACTCAGCAACTGAGCTCTGTAGGCCTAGTGAATTCTAATGATTCATAGATCTTTGTGTACGAGGATATTTCATTTCTGAGAGAGTGACCCCTCCCTCTGGATGCACTGACCAGGGAAACTCTCTCTCAGCACCTTATTCTATCAAGTCCCTTAAAAAACTCATACATTTCCATGGCATCACCTCTCATTCTTCTAAATTCTAGGGAATAGAGGCCCAGTCTACTCAATGTCCATTCTGGCTGACATGCCAACTATAAAGCCTGAATGTTTCAGCACAAACTGTTCAAAGGCACAGTTGACTTAATTATCATGGAGATTTCCATTATTCTATCAGTTCTTGTCCTACAACTTGCCTTAACACCTCCTTAAAATATACCACAATTGCAAGACTACTGCATTGAGGAAATAGCAAGGCAGGCACTTAGGAGGATGATCAAACGATCAATTTATCGGGGAGGCAATGGCATAGTGGCATTATCACTAGGCTACTAATCCAGAGTTAATGTTCTGGAGGAATTTGAATTCAATGACAATCTGGAATTAAGATTCTAGTGATGACCATGCATCCATTGCTGATTGTTGGAAAAATCCGATTTGGTTCATTAATGTTCTTTAGGGAAGGAAGCTGGCCTACATGTAACTCCAAGCCCACCAGCAAAGTGGTTGACTCTTAACTGCCCTCTGGGAGATCAGGGATGGACAATAAATGCCCACATCCTGTGAATCAATGACAAGAAATGGAACAGTGGGCTTCTTTATCCAAAGCTCTCTGGTAACCTTGTGATTGCCTGTGAAATACAATTAAAGAATTTCGTTCAAGATAAAATGGAGGGATGTTAGCAAACATTGCATGTTCTATTGGCCATGCTAAATTGCCTGTAGTGTTCAGGGATGTGTAGATTAGGTGGGTTATAGGGTGATGGGGCTGGGTGGGATGTTGTGAAGGTCAGTGTGGACTTGTTGGATCAAAGGGCCTGTTTCCACACTGTAAGAATTCTATGATTCTATGAACAAGTACAGATATGCATAGCAACCTTCGTTTTTGGGGCGGCACGGTGGCTCAGTGGTTAGCAAACTGCCTCACAACGCCAGGGACCCGAGTTTGATTCCACCCTTGGGCGACAGTCTGTGTGGAGTTTGCACATTCTCCCCATGTCTGCGTGTGTTTCCTCCGGGTGCTCTGGTTTCCTCCCACAGTCCAAAGATGTGCAGACTAGGTGGATTGGCCATGCTAAATTGCCCGTAGTGTTCAGGGATGTGTAGATTAGATGGGTTAGAGGGGATGGGTCCGAGAGGGATGCTTTGAGGGTCGGTGTGGACTTGTTGGGCCGAAGGGCCTGTTTCCACACCGTAGTGATTCTATGAAATGTATGAAAGGTGCACTTCCTTGTCATTTAGAAGTTTAAGAGTTCAAACCCCACTGCCACCCTCTACTCTAGTATGACCTCAACTGACCCTTCTGTGCAGTATTCAAGAGTTCAGGAAGATGTTAAATCGAGGCTTTCTCTGCCCTGTCCGGTGATTGCTAAAGCTTAAGGGAATACAGTACAGGCTTTCCCAGTGTCCTGGTCAACGTGCTTTCCATCCCAAACCCAATGAAGTTCTACATTCTCCACAAGTGGTCCTACATTACAGCAGCAACTACATATCAAAGTGGGTAAATGGGTGTAAAATG